AAGCAAAAACCCCGTTTTTTTTTCCCCTTTTTTTCCTTTTTTTTTTTTTTTTTTTAACTCATGCATGTGCTTTCACTCCTTGCAGGACAGAATTGGAATGCAAAAAGATGTCAAAACAGAATGATGGGTTTCAGCAAAATGTAAACTGGGGTACATTCCCAGAGGGTGGTAAATTTAAACAATTTCCACAGCACTCAGTAGCAATGCCCACTATCAGGAGGCAGAAGTGCCAAGAATACTGACTACTCGCTCGAATGCTGTCTGACTATCCTGGGGTATCTTTTTAATAAATACTTTTTAATAAATACATACATTAAAAAAAAAATTAGACAAACTATACCTCACCTTTTTTAAAGCATACGCAAAGACTGAACCCAAAGAGAAGAGAGAAATTATCAGAGAAACACGTTTGTCTCTAAAGAGATAAAAAGAATTGTTTTATTACTTCTTTGAAGACTTTGAATAAAAATTATTTCAAAATAAATTAAAAATATATGCCACTGATGTGCATATCAACGAAACAATTCCACCTTCCATTTTATCCAATTTTTCTTACTCTAAGTCCTTCAAAGATTCTTCTGGTGATGTTTTGTTCATGTACCACACGTTTTGAGCACCGAACTGTCACCTAATGGCGAACCCTTTACCTGAAGAGTACCTGTTACCATTATCTGTGTCTGTTCAGTCTGCTGAAAATAATAATCCTGGAAAGTTGATCTATAAACTTGAGTCAAGAGGCTCTATAGGAGAACCAATAAACCCAGAATGAACACTGTCAGCTAAATAGTTCTGGCAACAGTGAGAAAAGTGATATTAATGGCTAAACACCACATCCAAGGCAGTACCAGCAACATGAGGAAAGTACAAAACAAAACTGTTTGCAAGATACTACACAGCAATAATCATACACACTGCTATTTAAGTAGGTACGTTCACATTCTTCACAAAGGACTTCCATCCCTCTGGCAATGCTGCACTGTCAGGAGCACTGCCACAAAAGGCTAGTCTAACCTTCTGAAGTCTCCCAGTGCTATTGGGTTTTGGAGGCAGAAGGCCAAGTTGCCACAAAATTTGCAATGCATTTAGGAATAAACATCAACCATTTATGCCTACAAATGTACACAAATATATTTGGGAATACAAATATATCTGTTGGTACATCTTCTTTTTCTTAAGTTTTAAAACACTAGCATACAGGAAAGAAAGCCAGAGGCCAATGCAAGGTTGGTAACAATGATTTATAGATGGGGTAGAAATTTTATTCAAAAGTGCTGTTACTTGCAGCTTCTAATATTTCACACATTGTACAATGAATGCTATAATGTGCATTCAATGTCCATCTTCTAAATATTACACAATGATACATAAATTAAATGTTCTGCCACACCAACACTGACTGCATACCCATCAGCTGGAACATTTGAGCAACTGCATTCTGTTGCACAGAGTGTCTTGGTAAACCACAGTCTCATAGAAAACTGGCTAGAAAAGGCCCTACCTTCTCTTCCTGATGTACTCTGTTGGCATTTTCCATCTGAAAGCTGTGCAAGGACTGGATTTTGTCAATCTGCTGTCGCTGCTTCTCTAGCTCCCCTTGGAATTCATTCTTTTTGAGCTCCACAGCGCCCCTCTCCGCTGCCGCCCTGCGGACTTTGCCTTCCAGATCCATGATCCGACCCTGAGGAAGAGCAAATTAGCCAAAGCCAAACAGAAATGCTTCCCCCTTGCCAGACTCTTCTCCAATACATTCAAGGAATACCAAATTTCACAGAACTAACAATGCTAATGTCATCAAAGTATTGTGTCAGCCGGTGATACCTGCCAGACACAGACACACACACACGGACACCCCTCCCCCCAGTTTTACATAAATTACCAATACAGCATATTCTGTAGAGACTATCAAAATTTCAGTTAAAGAGAAATGCAAAGCTGTCTCAGTACTTGAACTTAAAAAAAACAGCCCCACAAAAAAAAAAAAAAAAAAGATTGCAGTCTACAATCTTTCTGAAGTACAACATCAAATTATTTTTTAAACTTAATCCAGACAATTCTGACATCACTGCATGTCCCAGTGTTGATCCTAAACTAACTCAGAGGGAAAACTCATCTCTCAAATCAATACGTTTTCCTGGGAGACCTGGGAAAGAATAGAGGGAGGACAACACTGCCCAACTTTTATATAAACAACTGATATATGGCTGTTACACAAAGTCACATATGAGAAAAACTCATTTATAAGCAGAAAATCTTTGTTCTTCTTGATTGCTCACTGACAATCAGAGGAAAATTCAACACCATCACATACTGCACATACAAACACAGAACTATAACAAAGAATCAAGCTTGATACTATCACAGCTTTTTTTTTTTTCCTTTTTTTTTTAAAGTACCAATTTGTTTTGCAGGACATTGTTTCTAAACATTTTGGGTTAAAATCACACTTTGGCAGCAAGGAAGAGTACAAAGACATGTGGGGGGTGGGGGAACATCAACAGAATTTACCCACGTAGAAAGACCTGGGGATTCCAGGTGGATTAAAAAAATAGATATAATAAAAACTGCATCTTCCAAGACTCCAAGAAAATGGACCAAATCTTCTTACACCACAGTATGCTGCGCCCTCAGTAAGTCTGCAGATGCCACCAGGTTGGCCGGGAGTGTTGATCTGCTGGAGGGTAGGAAGGCTCTGCAGAGGGACCTGGACAGGCTGGATCGATGGGCCGGGGCCAATTGTATGAGGTTCAACAAGGCTCAGTGCCGGGTCCTGCGCTTGGGTCACAACAACCCCATGCAACGC